CAATTGAAAATTTTTTTATTAATTAAATAAACAAATAATTCTAAATTCCATTATTTTGACGTCAAAAGTTTACCAGAGACCCCAAAAATACTACTGAATTAATCTTGATAGTAATTGGTCTCTCAATTATAATTTTTCAATTTTTTGATTAAAAACATTTTTATACATACTTCCATCTTATAGTTATAGGACAGTTTTTTTCAAAGTTATGCTAAAATATGACTAAATAACATGCAATATTTAATTACAGAAAGTTTAAAAGATATACATTCAAAAATATAAAATTTGGAAATTTTCCATTTTTTTAATTTTTTGAAAAAATTGAATACCTCCCATTCTAACAAATAAGTTTAAAATCTGTAAATTAATTGTTTATATATATTTTACAAAAGTCATAACTGATTAATTTACAGCAATCTGGCAAAATTAAAAAAAAAATTCGAATTTTTTGGAAAATTCATAATTTTTTTTTCATATTAATATTATTTTTTAATTCAATTTATTGTTATATATCTTTAAAATCATTTATATTATTAATAAATTAAAAAATTTATGCCAATCTGCAAAAAAAAAAAAAATTTTTTTTAATTTTTTGAAAAATTTATAATTTTTGTTCATCTCAATATTTTTTTATCAAATATAGCTAATATTTTAAGTTAGACCAATACCTAAAAGATTGCCAAATTTTACTTCAATCGGTCAAAACGTTTTCAAGTTATACGCGAACAAAATTTTGCGGACATACATACATACATACATTCATACATACATACATACAGGAAATTTTCTATTACCATTTTTGGATTCTCCGTTGTTCAAATAAATAAATTATGCTAGAAAAAATTAATTTCGTGCAATGTACAGACAAAAGTCTGATTTTATTAATATAGATGAAAAATATGCTGATCTAATGACCGTCTTACCTATACCTTCTAGGTCAGTTACCACTACCATCAAATCACCAGAACAGAGATCCAACAGTGGGGTTACGTTGATACCCTTAGCAAGAATACACGCTCTAGGTTTGGCAGCTCTACAATCCCTGTAACAAACGAGACCAGGTCCACCAAGTCCCCTAATAGCACCTCTTACTAACCATGGTTCTTGGATTAGCCTGTGTGCATCCTAGTCATGCACCTCATCAGTACTGACGAGGCGCCTTTACTATGATGCAAGTTAATCTGAGTAGCAGTAAGCTTGCAAGCACTGAATTATGCTTGCACTTCTCCCGCCTCTGTATTAGCCGGGCCGTCACTACCAGGGACAGTTACCTTAAAGGTTACCCGCCCCATATGGTAGTACGGTCTGAATTCAAGGGCCTCTATGGCCCTTGCCTGACTCTCAGGGACCTAAACGACAAGAAGGAAACTCTTGTCATTCTTATCAGCCACCTGAGACCCATCGACATTGCAGTAGCCCTCACCATTCTCTGGAGTATCTCAACCCCACCCACCTTTAGCTTCGCTCCTTCCCAGGGCCTGAGTTCAGCCACACGTTCCGTGAGCCACGCTCTAGCCTCTGGAATAGATGCGATGAAGACAAGAACTCCTCCTCTGCAGAAGGAGGCCTCAAACTTCGGCCACCGCTCAACCGGCTCCTCACAAGTGAGCAGCATAATGGCCTTCCTGAGAAGTCCAAACTGCTACTCCATACGGACCGCATCGGTATAGCCCTCGCCGTAGACCACCATTGTCAGAGGATTCGTTCTTTGAGCCATTGTTAGCCCAACATTGTGACCATATTTCCTGGTACTATGACGGACCGACCTTGGCTTTTTTACAACCTCTTTTTCCAAGGGTGACGCATCCTGGCCGCTCTTCAGTAAAAAATTATGTAATAACATTTTATAATTTTTAATTAATTAGTTGATTTATTATATAAAAATATTAGAAATAGTAAACTATTACATGTAATTTCCTACATTACTTTTTGATTTTTAATTCAATTAAAAAAAATTCTAAATTCTAATATCCTAAATATTTAATTTTCAAACAACTTTCATTTTTTTAATGCATTATTATTACCAATAAGACAAAAAAATATTTTTTATTAGTATAAACATTATAATCTATATAAACCTTAGAACGATAACGCAATTTCACCGAAAAAATTCTTGGGGGTAACGGGGAGTGAACTCGGGTCCCGCTGGACTAAAGTCGCACGCCTAACGCACTCGGCCGTTCAACGCAATGAATACTGAGGATTAAGAACCAGTCATGTTTCAGTACAGTGCCGTAACTATAGATTTTAAGCATTTGTATATACTTTTAATTAAAAATTAATAAATTAATTAATAAATAAAGTGATTACTGTAATTAAATTTTTAATGAGTTTTATTAATTTATTAGGGGAGAGTTGTCAGGGTTGGGCAGGGTTTAGGGTTGGGCCACCGCGTTTATTTTGTTTTATCGCACTAGCGCCATCTATCTTTTTCGTAAATTCTTGCTACTAATGTCAGCCATCTTTTCATATGAATCGCAGTTCAGTATACGAACGTATATATTTGAGTATTGTGCCACTTTGTGATATAGGTTCAGCAAAAACTTTTTTGTGGTGTCAAAAGAAGAGAAATAAATGTAGAAGAAATGTGCCAATGACAAAATAAGTTTACAGAAATTGTTCATTAAGATATGTGAAAATGTGTAAAGTAGTTTGGTGTTTGTGTCACGCGTTTGTGTTCTGTGCGATATGACGAAAAACGACGCGTGTAATTTGATTAATTAAATAATTACTTGACTCTAATAAATGAATTAATTTAACACAAATAATGAGTTATTTTAAAACAAATTATTTATTTCACTCAGTTAATTGGATATTTGACATAAATAAAAATTATTTGCCATAATTAATAAATAATAGAGTAATGTCACCTTGAGTGGACCGCCTAAGCTTTTTTTCTAAAAAATTCTTTATGAAAGTAAATTAATCGAAGGTTTCTACTCCAAGCTTTAGTTTAGATCCCTAGACAAGTGTTTATACCATAATAGCTTTGATTTTTTTTATTTGGAAGAAAAAATTGACTTTAAAAAGAAGCTAATTTTTAAGGAATGAAAAAAATGTAACCTTGAGTGGACCACTCCAAAAAAATTGCAAAAGTTATTCTAAATTCTTTAATGTATTTAATATTTCTGATATATTAATACAAAATTTATGCTTATGCAGCTTCAGACCATGTGTGTGTGTGTCGCAATGTTTGCAAGTGAAACCATTTTTAATAATTTTGGCACATATTATATCAATATCACAAAAAAATTAATAAAGAACATAAAACATAGTTTCAAAACAATTTATTGTCAATTTATATCCATAAAAATGGTAAACTGACATTAAAAATATATCAAACAGGCAGTCCACTCCTGGTTATAAACAGTGGTCCACTTATGGTGACATGCAACTTTTTATGACAGCCACAAAAAAATTTTTTTGAGTCAAAATAATCACTTAATTAAACTAAGACAATCAATGTCAATGTTCAAAGTAGTAGGAAAAAAATAAGTTACCTTTTAAAACTTAAATTTTACACTACTTTTACACTTCCGAATCACTTTACTCATTGTAAGAGCGACTTCTTTGTTGGTTTGTGTTCTTAAAAATTCGTTACATCAAACGATAACGTATATTATTATCGCGGAACTTAATTTCTTACGGTTTCTAGGTGCGGTGCTGCTATTCGCACTATTTATTTCACGTTTCCGCTGTCAGATAACTTAAAAGCTCAGGCGTTCCACTCAAGGTGACATTACCCTAATAAATAATAAATTAATAAATAAAAATTATTTTAATCAAATAAATAACTTATTTAAATAGAGGAATTTATTTATTTCAACCAATTAATTGAATATTTGGTCCTTAATATGAAACGAGTAGATATGCAAATTAGGTAAAGAGAGACATTCTCATTTATATTGCCTTTAGAGAAAGAGAGAAACCAGAGCCGGCGTTACTGGCGCCGTTACCCAGACGTTACCTTTTGTGTTTCAATTATAAAAGTATATATATTTATATTGACTTTTATCTATAGTTTTCCTTGCGATGAAGAAAGAAAGAAAATATTATTACCTGGGTCCCTCATTTACAAAGACTATTGTTCAAGGGTTCGTATTGTTTGTGGTAATCCTTCGTAGGGTCTAATACAGGTCTAATATTTATATATAATATATATTAGCCTCAGAATCAATCTACGAGTGCAAAAAGGACACTCACGTTTAGGGCCTGATACCTAAATATAAGAACGAATATTTATTTTTAATTTAAAAATCATATCGTAGATTATTTTCCTTGGGACACGTTCTACGTGTCTTCAACAAAAATTAAATTAAAAAATCTTTATAATTCACTGGTAAATTCACTCACTGTTGAAAATTGTTTTAATAATATAATAAATAACAAAACAAAGAACTGTATTTTAAAAATAATGTTTATTTTAAAAACTATTTCAAGAAACACTATACATTGAAAAACCGTCTGAATATATGAACGAACAAAATATAACTGAGGCATCAATATTAGAAAAATAGAATCTTCTTATTGGAAATCCCCTCCTTCAGGTAATTCGTCTAGACCATTATATTGCAGGTAGAAGAGTCGATAAGCCTGAAAATAAGTAAACAAAGAGGGGTCTGGTATGACCCTTGAAGAGTCGAATGTTTATAATAATAAAACTGTAATAATTTTTAAATAAATTTAAATTTGTGGACAATACAGCTTATTATTTCTTACAAATCATTTTTATAAATAATTAACAATTTTAATTGAGTGTAAAATACAATTCAATACATAACTACGAACATACCGCCCGCCTCGTTACAATCTAAGTAACGAAACTTAATATTACTATTAAAACAACTTTAAATATGTGAGACTCTTGTCTATAGTATTCTTACATACGCCTCTACTTTATAAATAAATGTGTGACATGAATGTTGTCAATACAATCATAACATGTGACAAATACAAATAATTTTTTTTTTATTATTACCGCCCGCTGTGAACATATAATTTTAATCAAGCTTTTCCTGCTGAAGAGGTAATAAACATATTTGTGATATAGGTCTACGATATGTACCCTTGCTAGTTTTTACTGATACTACTCGAACTAAATTATCTTTACCAGGATGAACTTCACTTACTCTTCCCATAGTCCATTTCATTTTCAAATTTTCAGGATCTTGAATTAGTACCAAATCATTCTTCTGGATATTCTTTGTAATTTTGTTCCACTTATAGTGTTTTTGCAGTCCTTGAGGATATTCAATGGACCAACGTTTCCAAAAGTCTTCCATCATACGTTGAACAAGATTCCAACGTACAAACCGATCTTTATTAGGGCTAGTTTCGGATGTGTGTGGAATACTTAGAAGAGGTGCCCCTATTAAAAAATGTCCTGGTGTTAAGTAGTTGAAATCATCCGCTGTATTTGATAAAGCTGCTATTGGTCTAGAATTTAAACACGCCTCTACTTGACAAAGTAAAGTAATCAACTCTTCAAATGTTAAAGTTTGCTTTCCTATCACGCGTTTAAAATGAGATTTTACACTTTTTACTCCAGCTTTCCACAAACCTCCAAAGTGGGGAGCATGTGGAGGATTAAAATGCCATCTTATACCTTTATCCAAAACATGATTCTGTACGCTCTTTTCAATGGTTACATTTCGCCAAGCTTCTTTCAATTCTTTGTCGGCACCACGAAAATTTGTCCCGTTATCACTGTAAATGTCACTGGGTAATCCTCTTCGTGAGACAAATCTAATTAATGTTAAAATAAATGTTTTGGCTCTATAATCTGTCACTGCTTCTAAATGTACAGCTCGAGTAACCATACAAACAAAAATGCAAAAATATCCTTTAATTGATTTGTATCCCCGACCTTTCCCCGTTCTAATTTCGATCGGACCTGCGTAATCTATCCCTGTATGTTGGATGCTACGAGACGGTGTTATTCTGTACGACGGTAAATCTCCCATTAATTGACTATGCACTTTAGCACTTTGTTTAATACATATTATACACGAATTTATAATCTTTTTTACTGACAATTTGGCTTTAATTGGCCAAAAAATTTTTCTTAGTAAGAAGAGTGTAGATTGTACACCTCCGTGTAAATTGCGTAGGTGTGTGTATCTTATAATAAGATCAGTAATATGGTCTCTCGGCAGAATAATAGGATGTTTTTCATCCCAAGATATTGGTGCATTTTCTAGACGTCCACCTACTCTCAAAATGCCATCTTTATCAACAAAAGGAGTTAAAAATTTTAATTTACTACTTTTCTTTAACTGCATTTTATGTGATAAGTAATGCAATTCCTCCGAAAAATATTCCTTTGGAAATTAGTAATTAAGTACAATTTAGCTTCTTCCATTTCTTTTACTGTAATAAAGTTATTATTAGTACAAGTATTATTTGTTTTTCTACAAATCTTTATGAATATAAAACAGTAAACTACAATTCTTAACAATTTAAGCCAACTAGAAGAAGTATTTATAGCATTTTCGAATGGAGAAATTTCATTTTCAATATTAGTCGTGAGAAGATTTCTAACATTTTTAATCTCTTTATCTGTGAATTCCGAAACATTTTGAACTGCCCAATGAACCGATGACTTAAATAACCAGTCTGGACCTTTCCACCACAAAGCATGTTTTATTAAATTCGTTAGAGTCATACCTCTTGACAAACAGTCTGCCGGATTAGAAACACCTGGAATATGTTCCCAGTTAACGTTAGAAGCTACAGTATGTATTTCACTGACTCGATTTGCTACAAAAGTAGTCTATTTGGAAGGATGATCCCTTAACCAAGATAGCGCTACTGTCGAGTCAGTCCAACCAAAAATAGGAATTTGTTCTAGATGAAGATCTTTTAATACTTTTTTAATAAGTTTTGCTAATATTACTACCGCACATAATTCAAGTCTTGGTACACTTATTACTTTTAAAGGGGCTACTTTACTCTTTGAAATAAGAAGAGTAATATTTGGCTGTTCATTTTTATTCAATACACGTAAATATACTACAGCACCATATGCTTGTTTAGATGCATCGGCGAATCCGTGTATTTCATATTGACAATCTACTTTTTCAAGTGTCCAACGTGGAATTTTTACCATATTAATTTTAGGGAGTTCATTATAATATCCTATCCAACGTTGTAATAAATCATGATCTAATTCGTCATCCCATTGTAATTTTTTGAGCCATATTTCTTGAATAAAAATTTTCGCAACTATTGTTATCGGCGATACCCATCCCAATGGATCGAACAATTTTGATATCAGAGACAAAACAAGTCGTTTAGTTACAAATTCACAATTTTGAGTAGAAACTGAATAACAAAATTCATCTTTTCTGGAATCCCAGAGTATCCCTAATACTGGGTGTTTTTCTGTTAGTTTTGTTAAATTAATAGGACTTTCGTTTATACAATCCTTGTTTGTATCTAAAATTAAAGGATTATTCGTTGACCATTTATCTAAAACAAAACCACCTTTTTTAAGAAGTTTAGTTAAATCTCTTTTCAATTCACGGGCTGTTTGTATATCGTTAGCACCAATTAATCCATCATCAACATAAAATTCATTTTCTAGTGCTTTTTTCGCTAAAGGATATGATAAACCTTCATCTTGAGCAAGTTGTTTCAGAACCCTATTTGCTAAAAAAGGAGATGATGACATCCCATAAGTGACCGTTAATAGTTGGAAATGTTTAATATTACCTTCTGGTTCTAATCTACACACTATCCTTTGGCAATCGACATCTTTTTTATCAACTAAAATTTGTCTAAACATTTTACTTATATCAGTTGTCATGACATAACGATACCTTCTCCAATGTAAAATAATTGCTATAATATCATTGTGTAATTTGGGACCAATAAGTAAGAGTTCATTTACAGAAAAACCACTAGATGTTTTACAAGAACCATTAAATACCAATCTTACGCGTGTTGAAAGACTATTTTCTTTTATGATAGGAAAAAATGGCAGGTAAATGGCGTTAGTTTCTTGGATAAACGTTTCAACATCTGGTTTTATTTCAACAATATGTCCAAGATCTTTATACTCATTTAAAAATTTATAATAATCGCATTGTAATTCTGGTTTAAACTTTAAACGTTGTTCTGTTTTATTTAACATCTTTTTAGCAATATTTAATGAATTTCCTAGAATTTTAAGAGCATTTTCTTTTAAAGGTAATCGAACACAATACCTGCCATCTTCTTCGCGAGTGTGTGTTTTAAGAAAATAGTCCTCAGCTTTTTGTTCATCTACAGTTAAATAATTTTGTTGAGGAAGTTCCTCAAGTTCCCAAAATAATTTTAAATTTCTTTGTAAATCATCTACTGTAGTACAATATTGGTTGATAGTGGCATTTTTCTTTTCATTACTTAGAAGACTAGTTGGACCCGATAATATCCACCCTAATTTAGTTTTTTGTGCGATAGGTGTACCTGCTTGACCTTTACAAAGATCATTCATCAATAATTCATCATAATAATCTGCTCCGATTATAATCTCTATTGTTTTACCTTTAAATGGTTCCGGATCGGCTAGATCCAAATTTTTCAAATGCTTCCATTTACAAAGGAAAGCATCTTTTGGTGGCATGTAGAAACTAAGTCTAGGTAAAACTAATGCTGACATTGGAATAAATAATTCTCGGTTATTTATAGGGGATATTGAAAATTGAACACATGCTTTAGCTGTACCTATCTGAATTTTATCAAGTGACATTACTTTAGTTAATGCACTACTTTTTTGAAAACGTAGTGCTTGCACTAAACTTTCAGTAATAAAACTTCTTTCTGAACCTTGATCAAACAAACCACATATTTCTTTATAGCGTCCCAAATTACCATGTATAAGTATTTTTACAGTAGGTAAAAAAGTATTACCAATGGAAGTATGTTGTAGTACAACATAATCTTTCTCTGAGAGTCAACTTGTTTCTATTTCTAAAGGTGAATTTGAATCCTTATTATCTGGACTAATAACTATCATTTTTGAATTTTCTGATTTTGACTGATCAATATGTAACATTGTATTATGCTTTCCTTTACATTTTTTACAAGTCATTTTCCAAAAACATTTTAAAGCTGTATGACCACCTCTAAAACAATTGTAACAAAGTTTTCTTTCTTTTATAAATAATCTTTTATCCTTTACTGAAAGACTTTTAAATTTATCACATTGATATAATAGATGATTAACATCACAAAGACATTTAGTTTTACTAGTTGAAATGGTAAATGTTTTTGAAACACCCGACCGATGGGAACCTTTATTATCTACTGATTTATTATTAGCTTTTGATATCTGACTCTTTTGATTATCTTTGGAAGTTTCGATAGCTTCCAATGTTCGAATACGTACTGATAGAAAATTTTCGAGTTCCTGATACGTTGGGAAATCAGATCTATCGCCTAACAATTTTTCCCATTCTACTAATGATGGTCTTGCTAACTTCCCCACAACAACAAAAACCAATAGCGCATCAGCAACATTATGACCCAAGGTTTTTAAGGCTTGTACACCTTCTGCAGTGGAGTCTCTTAGAATTTTTAAATCTTTTACTGATTCGTTTGTAATAACAGGTAAACTCATAAAAGAATTTAAATGTGCATTAATAATTACGCGTTGGTTTTCGTATCGTTTTTTAAGTGTTGCCCATGCGCTATCGTAATTTTCTGAAGTAACACCCATGTGTTTAATAAGCTGAGCGGCCTCGCCCTCTAAACTAGATTTTAAATAATGCACTTTTGTACCGCAGGCATCTTGGATTCTTCAGCTATTACAGACTAAAAAAGGTCATGATAATTTTGCCAGCTTAAATAATCGCCCGAAAACTTAGGTAAATCAATTCGCGGCAATTTTGAAACACGAGATGTCTCTGATACTCTACTTCGAACTCTATGAATATCTTCGTTCACAGTGGTCCTCAAATGCCAAAAAGTTTCATAAAAATGTCAAAGAAAACTGCTAATGCCATCTTATTCTAATCATCTCACACTTCTAAACCTATTTTAGATCGAAATCCTACTTGTTCGCATTTTCAAAATAACGAAATAACAGTTTCAAATCATTTTTAGAAATTTAGTTCATATTTGAGTTTAATACAAAGAAAGAAAATTCGAATGTCAATTATTTTTAACTTTAATAAAATTGTAAATTTCACCGTAAGAGTGATATTAAGGAAATGGCTATTTTACTTTTTTGATTTCTAGAATGATAAACATAGGTATTTATATTTATCGTAAAAACATTAACCAATTTTAACGCCGGGACGGACGCTTTTTCAATCATTTTCAACGTTAATTATTTTTGTTATTAGGCATGTAGAAAATTTTCGGAATAACATTTTCTTACGTATTTTTTATCGCTCTTCCAGAATCTGTCATCAAAATTGCAAAAAACAAAAATTCCAAAAAGTTATGGCCGCTTATTTCGAAAATGCAAATTTTTGACATTTTTGATTGAAAAATTATTTTTTTTATGTAACCAGTAACCAGAATAATTCTTCACCATAAAATATCGCGTCCACAATATCCAAGCTTCAAAGTGATGGACCATACATTTAAAAATTTCAAGATGGCGAATCCAAAATGGCGAAAAAAGAAATTTTTTTCACATAGTTGACACCCTGTGAACGCTTTTTTTAATTCTCCTTTTATCTGTATGAAAAGGAGTACCTGAATGCTTTTTGGGTCGCTGATTACGAATATGAATTCAGATTTCAAAAATTCAAAATGGCGGATTCAATATGGCGGTCGACATTTTTGAAATTGATCGGTTTTATTTGAAAACTGCTACTCGGGAGGTTTTTGGGGTCGCTAGTTACGAATCTAAAATCAGATTTTAAAAATTCAAAATACCGAATCCAAAATGGCGGTCTTAATTTTAAAGAATGATTAGAATGGTTTAAAATTTTATGTTTTTTAGCCATTGAAATTATTTAATGTTGTCCGACTCAAACCACGAGGAGGTAAACGTACATCCTCGTGTATTGATAGAGACAATGCATTCTGCTAAATGAATTAAATAAGAAATTATATAGTTTCTAAAGGAAATGAAATTTAATGTTGCTGTAAAACAAATGACCCTCGTGGTTTGAGTCGGACAACATTAAAATATTTTCAATAGCTAAAGAACGTATTAAATTTTAAACCAATCTAATCATTTTCTGAAATTTTGATCGCCATATTGGATTCGGTATTTTGAACGTTTGAAATTTGACTTCATATTCGTTTTCAGCGACCTAAAAACCCTCAAGTAACAAGTTTCATGCAAATCCGATAAGTTTTAAAAAGATAGCCGCCATATTGGATCCGCCATTTTGAATTTTTGAAATCTGAGTTCATATTCGTAATCAGCGACCCAAAAAACATTCAGGTACTCCTTTTCATATAGATAAAAGGAGAATTAAAAAAACGTCCACAGGGTGTCAATTATGTGAAAAAAATTCTTTTTTCTCCATTTTGGATCCGCCATCTTGAAATTTTTAAATGTATGGTCCATCACTTTGAAGCTTGGATATTGTGGACGCGATATTTTATTGTGAAGAATTTTTTTGGTTACTGGTTACATGAAAAAAAAATCATTTTTGAATCAAAAATGTCAATAACATTTTAAATGCCATAACATTTTTGAATTTTTGTTGTTTGCAATTTTGATGACAAATTCTGAAAGAGCGATAAAAAATACGTAAGAAAATGTTATTCCGATAATTTTCTAATTGCCTAATAACAAAAATAATTAACGTTGAAAATGATTGAAAAAAAGCGTCCGTCCCGGCGTTAAAGGGTTAATGTTTTTACAATAAATATAAATACCTATGTTTATCATTTTAGAAGTCAAAAAAGTAAAATAGCCATTTCCTTAGTATCACTCTTACGGTGAAATTTACAATTTTGTTAAACTTAAAAGTAATTGACATTCGAGTTTTCTTTTTTTGTATTAAATTCAAATATGAACTAAATTTCTAAAAATGATTTGAAACTGTTTGTTGGTTATTTTGAAAATGCGAACAAGTAGGATTTCGAACAAAAATAGGTTTAGAAGTGTGAGATGATTAGAATAAGATAGCATTAGCAGTTTTCTTTGACATTTTTATGAAACTTTTTGGCATTTGAGGACCACTGTGCGTTAGATCGAGAAGCTTCATTTTTAAGTTTAGCAATAGAATCATTAAAAATATCTAAAGTTTGAAGATATTCTTCTTCAGCTTTAAGAAAAACATCCTCGGAAAAATAAGAAATGAGTGACTTATCTGAATTTTTTGCAAATGTGGTGATTTTCACGTCGTTGATTTGACATCTTTTCCAATATTGTTGAAGTTGTGAACGACGACCTTCAATCATGGCAACAGTCATCTCTTGTAGAGGGCGTTTGCGAAAACTTTGAAGCGCTCTTTGTATAGCGCTGATGGCCACTTCCTGTTCTATAATACTATCTTCCATCTTTAATCACTCATTTTAAACATTAAACTTAAACAATATTTATAACTTTTATTATAAATATTGTTTTTTTATTAAATATTTATTATAAATATTTTTAATATTTATTTTTTATCTAGCTCGAACAGGGATCGCGAGTAACCTCACAAGAGGCACCATGTTGAAAATTGTTTTAATAATATAATAAATAACAAAACAAAGAACTGTATTTTAAAAATAATGTTTATTTTAAAAACTATTTCAAGAAACACTATACATTGAAAAACCGTCTGAATATATGAACGAACAAAATATAACTGAGGCATCAATATTAGAAAAATAGAATCTTCTTATTGGAAATCCCCTCCTTCAGGTAATTCGTCTAGACCATTATATTGCAGGTAGAAGAGTCGATAAGCCTGAAAATAAGTAAACAAAGAGGGGTCTGGTATGACCCTTGAAGAGTCGAATGTTTATAATAAAACTGTAATAATTTTCAAATAAATTTAAATTTGTGGACAATACAGCTTATTAATGTAGGAAATTATTTGCTGATTGAGAATTTTAATGAAGGAAGATTTCGACTATATCAGCAATTAGTGACATCTATTAGACGTCAATTTAACTCTTTGGTTTAGAGTCAGGTGTTATTCTTAAGATAATTATTCCGATATGGTTGTCGGTAAATAATTATATTTTTGTAATTAATTTTTGATCTGAAAAAATAAGCTGCGTGAACGACTGCACTGTGCATCTGTGAGGACTCGAACCCCAGTTAATAGCTGCCTTTCGCGGGACTAACGCCTACCAATGCACTATGCCAACACAGCCTGGACGTTCACGTTTCTTATAATCTCAGATCAAGCCCATACACTAGTCGAAGAGCTGTATAGTTAATGTAGGAAATTATTTGCTGATTGAGAATTTTAATTAAGGAAGATTTCGACTATATCAGCAATTAGTGACATCTATTAGACGTCAATTTAACTCTTTGGTTTAGAGTCAGGTGTTATTCTTAAGATAATTATTCCGATATGGTTGTCGGTAAATAATTATATTTTTGTAATTAATTTTTGATCTGAAAAAATAAGCTGCGTGAACGACTGCACTGTGCATCTGTGAGGACTCGAACCCTAGTTAAATAATTTCCTACATTAACTATACAGCTCTTCGACTAGTGTATGGGCTTGTTCTGAGATTATAAGAAACGTGAACGTCCAGGCCATATCGGAATAATTATCTTAAGAATAACACCTGACTCTAAACCAAAGAGTTAAATTGACGTCTAATAGATGTCACTAATTGCTGATATAGTCGAAATCTTCCTTAATTAAAATTCTCAATCAGCAAATAATTTCCTACATTAACTATACAGCTCTTCGACTAGTGTATGGGCTTGATCTGAGATTATAAGAAACGTGAACGTCCAGGCTGTGTTGGCATGGTGCATTGGTAGGCGTTAGTCCCGCGAAAGGCAGCTATTAACTGGGGTTCGAGTCCTCACAGATGCACAGTGCAGTCGTTCACGCAGCTTATTTTTTCAGATCAAAAATTAATTACAAAAATATAATTATTTACCGACAACTATATCGGAATAATTATCTTAAGAATAACACCTGACTCTAAACCAAAGAGTTAAATTGACGTCTAATAGATGTCACTAATTGCTGACATAGTCGAAATCTTCCTTAATTAATACAGCTTATTATTTCTTACAAATCATTTTTATAAATAATTAACAATTTTAATTGAGTGTCAAATACAATTCAATACATAACTACGAACACTCACTATATTATATGAGTGAATATAAAGTTAAGTAAGTGAATTATTAGTGAATACTTCGTGAATTAGTAAATAGTGATTTAGTGAATAGTAAGTATTAGTGAATATAATTAGTGATAATAAGTGAATAGTAAATAATAATAGAATTGCATTAAAATACTGTTTTCTAAATTTTGTCAATCATTAAATAAATTATTGAGTTGTGTTTTGTCTTTGATGTTAATTATTAATAAAGTTAAAAAATTTGTAATAATTTTTTTGATGTTTATTAATAAATTTAAAATTTTGTTACAATTTGGAAATCGTCTGTAATTGGATAAAAGGCAAAATTAGAAATTGGTTATATTGGATAAAAGGAAAAATTGGAAATTAGTTCTATTGGATAAAAACAAAGCTGGAAATTGTTTAAATTGGATGAAATTAAAAATTGGAAATTGATTATATTGGATAAAAACAAAGCTGCAAATTGTTTAAATTGGATAAAAG